AAAATTAAAAATAATATTGCCAGTAAACCCTGAAGACACAGGTTCAGGGCTGTAAATCTGGCATAGAACTTAAATGAGCAAGTTGCCACTGAGCACTGGATGCTTTTGGCTAGGAAGACCCTTCCCCTGGGACAAGCTCATATGACTGCCTGACATTCAGTTATATATGCATTTGCTTATTTTCTGTCTCCCCAGCTAGAATGTGAGCTCACTGCTGGCATATATGAGTAGGTACTCAGCAGATATTTATTAAATGTGGCTGTCTTGTTCCTAACTGAACTGAACTCCCCTTCTCACTAACACATTACTTCTTTAGATATATTAATCTCATCAGTCAGGGTCCAGTCAAGTCTTACTGTTCAAGGAGCACATTTGTTCTTTAAAATGATTTCCCAGATGTCTTCTCTGATTCATCAGCATTGAAAGTTTTAGTCTCGTCAGGCAATCTTATTTCCCGTAGTTCCAAGTTCATCACAGGGGAGTCGCCCCACTGTGACCCCTACATACTCATAACAGAAACATGCAATAGCCTCCTGACCATGCAATTGGAAACAAAAATTGCTGAGCCAAGTGGTGAGAAAGATGGTAAACTAAGAGATGAGAGTCTGTCCATCAACTGGAGAGTGATGAGGTGATTTCCTTGACCTGGATGAGATTGCACAAACTCTTGCTATGTTTATTGTTTCACTTGCACCCCATTGACCCCAAGTCATTCATTTGCAGGGCCTGCGGGGAACGCAGCGGTGGAATTGTGCCCTTCCACTGCACTCTCTGTTGTTTAGGAAGTTTTAGCAAAGAAAGACCTGACTGACTGCTCAGATGGAGAATCTCAAGGGGTGTGGTATGTATCTTACCAGCTTGGAGCCTCACCTTGCCCCCTCAAAACAAAGCACATGTGCTCCCTGACCTGTCAGCCCCTCAAAGCTTGCCCCGTGCAGCATTGTATGAGGGATGTCTGGGAGACTCACCAGGACTTTACGTCTGAAGACGGACACCGTTGTCTTATCTTGGTGGAAGACAGAGAAAGAGAAAGTAGATTGCCCCTCATAGCTTTACTTAAATTCCTCACAGTTCTATTAAAGCTGCCTCTGTTCCTCCCAACAAAAGCAAGTCAGAGAATTATTCCACAGGAACGTTTTATGAAATTTTGTCCTGTATTCCTCCATTTTATCCTTGAATAGGAGTAGATAATTTGGAAGAGGATAGCTGACAAAACTCAAAAGGCATCTATCTCTATTCTCAGCTGAGAGAGCAGAAGAAAAAAACAACCTTGGATCACTTGCTTGCAGATGATTTCCTTCCACCACCCTCCTCTGCCTGTTTACCTCTCTCTCCTGCTTTCCTGTGGTATCTCGACTTCTCTTTCTAGCTCCCCCTTCTCTCTTTAGTAGCCGAACTACCTTTCCAACTGCCTGATAGACATTTTCACTGGAATTTACTAAAGGCATCTCAAACTCAGCATAGCTAAAAGCAAATTAAGAATCTTTTGGGGCTGGCCAAGTGGCTCAGTTGGTTAAGAGCTTGCTCAAGAGTGTGAGCTCTGAGCAACAGCGGTTCAAGTCCCGGCCCAAGCTGAGCAGCCGCTGAGCTGCCAACAGGTAGCAGGATGGGTCAGCTAAAAAAAAAAAAAAAGAATCTTTTATCCCATATCAAGTTTTTCTTCTGGTTTCTTAGGTTAGTGACAATATCCTTCTTCTCTTTACCCAGTCTCAGAAATCAAAGACTGCCATAGGCAGCTGTTCATTGAGCCTTGCCAGTTCGATTTCTCTTTTCCGTTTCTATCACCACCTTCCTAATTCAGAGCCCCATCATGTCCCACCCATTCTGGCCTCCTCACACATAGTGATTAACAACACATAAGCATACTGCCTCTACTGCTTGTTAACTGTATGACTTCAGGCAAGTTGCTTAATTTCCTCATTTATAAAGTGAGGAAATTAACACCTGTTGCTATTCATACCTGTTGCTATGAGAATTCAATCAGATAAAGTAGCACCGGCAAAATACTCAATAACATTAGTAATTATTACCATCTGTCCTCTTCATTTACTCAACAATGCTAGATTTTACCTCCAACAGGGCAGCTCTAATTATGTTTAAAACCTCTCAGTGCCCCCGCCCAGCATCTACCTAACACCTAATATTCCCACACTGGCATTCCCAATTTTCTATAAAGTACTTGTGTAATCTTGTGATCGCTTGCTCCCTTCCGTGGACCCTGTGTTCCAGGCAAGTGGACCTCCTCACCCTACCGCACACCCTCTCTACGTTACAGCCTGTGTGCATTTGGTTATGCTATATCTTCTGTTTGATTCACCTTCCCTGTCCTTTAAGGTCTAACTTGAATAGTTTCTCTCTGATGACCCAATGTCCTTTTCGCTCCTTTTGAAATATCAGCACATGATCACACCTTTCTACAGGATGGTTTACTTTCTTCCTGGTCCTGCAGCTGCCTGTGTGTTCATCTTACCTCTCCAGCTGGAGGAACCTCCATTCTCCCAATCTCACGTCTCCACACATCAGGGTGAAAACTGAAATGCTCAAGCATTCCTCTTCTGCCTTCTGCCAACAAGATGCCAAGTAACTAATTTAAGCAAATGCTCTGCTAAACCAGTGGCTAGGTCGATGTTTCATAGACAAGATCGTGCTCAGTTAAGAGCCAGAGCTGGAAAAATAATCTGATTGTTCTAGCTCAAGATCTGATTACTATAGCTCAAACAATGTTCTGCTCACCCCAGCCTGTTTCTGGGATAGCCCTTCTGCTTCTGGGCTCTCTGCTTTAGTGACTAGCAATACAAGATGGCACACTGGCCTTAGCCCATACAAGATGAGGTAGGTCAATTCCAATTTCTTGAATGTTCTTCAAATGAAACTTGTGCTTTTTGCATCAGTTGGATATACAAGTTCGGACAATTAAGTTTGCAAACTCATCCTGGAAAAAGTGCTACGCACCTCACTGCTGAATATCACTACAGACACCTTCAAAGTACTCCCGTTGGGAAGCTAGACACCAATGCTAGCATCTAGTCCACCCTTCAAAGAAGTTTTGGAACTCATTGTCTGGAATGGCCATCAGAGCTGTCGTTGTATTACCCTTGATATCCTGAATGTCATCAAAATGTCTTCCTTTCAATATTTCCTTTATCTTCGGGTAAAGAAAGAAGTCATTGAGGGTCAGATCAGGTGAGTGGGGAGGGTGTTCCAATACAGTTGTTTGTTTACTGGCTAAAAACTTCCTCACAGATAGTGCCGTGTGAGCTGGTGCATTGTCATGATGCAAGAGCCATGAATTGTTGGCAAAAAGTTTAGGTCGTCTAACTTTTTCACACAGTCTTTTCAGCATTTCCAAATAGTAAAGTTGGTTAACTGTTTGTCCAGTTGGTACAAGTTCATAATGAATAATCCCTCTGATATCAAAAAAGGTTAGTAACATCATTGCAACAAGTTTGTGAACTTAATTGTCAGACCTCGTAAATGTCAAGTCTCTTTAAACTCTTGGAGGATCCTAAGAAAGTCCCTGCCGCCCCGCCCCAGCCCCCCCATGGCTGCTTCTTTCAGAATTCACGCTAGTTTCTTAAAATCCCACTTATGAATCGCAATACTTTCCTCCAGACACTGGCAACCGACTGGAGGGTGTGGGAGGAAAACTATGAATCTTGCCAGAAAAAGATGCTTTAAAAATATGATGGTAAATTTCATTTTGAAAAGTTTTAACACACTTTCCTTCAGCCTGAGCCCTAACTCACCTCATACTATTTTTTACTCAATTGAAGAGTGTTTTTAAAAATCTCTCGTTAAAACATTTACTAAAGAAATCAATAAGATATTGCTAATTTTAAGAGGAATAAGAAAATATTTTATGAATGAGACTAGTCCATTCAGGCTTAAAAAGAATTACAATGGCTTAAAATATTTGTATGCATGATCTTGTTTTTACAATTTTAATATTTTGCAGTGAAATATACCACACACTGCACTGTTGACCCATGCCTTGATTCCATGAATGGCTCTCAGAAACATCAGACTTATAGGATGCACTTATCTGTCTACAAAATAACTTCTTTTATTATTGTTTTAAAATATATTTCTCTGATTTATGTTTGCCTTTTCTTATGATATTCTAAGTTTGTTGTATTTGTTTTCTTTTTAAAAATAATTTTATTAGGAGGAATTTCAAGCATACACAAAAGTAGAGAAAATAGTGTAATGAACTTTAAATATCAATCACTCAAATTCTAGAATTATCAGTGTCTTCCCACTTTTGTTTCATCTATACCTTTTTCCTTCATTCTCCCTTTCTTTTGGCTGACGTATGTTAAAGCAAACCCCAGAATCACACCATTTTACCCTTGTGTGTTTAAGTGTGCATTGCTAAGTATATGGGTGTTTTCTTAAATAATTATTATACTATTATCATAACAAAACTAACAATAGTTTATTGGTTCATTTAGTACACAGTTCAAATTCAAATTTTCCTCATTGTCTTTAAAATGTTGCCTTCCAGTTGGTGTGTGTTCAAACCAGAATCAAGCAATGTCCATGCGTTGTATTTCGTCATTTGGGGCTGGAGAAAAATGTAGGGTTTGGTAAAGGAGAGCCTCTGAAGCAGGTGAAGGGCAGGCCTGCATTGTGAGCTGGAGGAAAAGCTTTTGAGGAGTGGTATCTGAATAATAATCTTCAAGAGGCACAAGTAAGGACTGGAACTCTGTAGCTGCTGGATAGCACTTCTTTAAATATCACTGAAATTAGTTCTGTTTATGAACATGACTTCCAGAACTATTCTACCTCCTCCATCCCTCTCTACTCCGGTAAATATCATAGACTACTCTTCCCAGGCAGAAAGATATTTACAGGCTTCCATAGTAGACATTGTCACAGTTTTTGCTGGTAATCCATTACAAAATTAGCTTTCCCTGTTTTCAGAGATGTATTATATGTAATCTCACCCCTTCACCTACTGCTTCATTCTTGATAAAATAGATGTTGTGTTTAATAGTTCCGAATTTGCTCTGTGTTGATATTAATGGCTTCTGGATCTGCTAGCCATATCAGAATATATGTCAGCACCTCTGGTGTTAATAAAGCCCACAAATATCAATTCTAATGCAATCTTAAAGTATTCTGCAACCCACCTATTTATTAATATTTCACCATCTGTGGATCCTAGTGGAAAATGGGTATATTTCAAGGGGTTCACTTCAAATATATTTTCTTTGGCTCTCGAGACAAAAGTAATTGGCAATTAACAGTGGTAGGGACAGCTTCTGTCAATACACAGTAGGAGTTAGGGAGAAATCATCAACTCCCTCCTACAGCCCTTCCCATTGGACTTCAAACACATTTTTTTTCACCCAGCAGGGAGCCCTCCAGGCTCCTAATCACCAACCCACTGGGATCCCAAGTTGCTGGGAATTTCATAAAGCAAAATTCCCCAGGGAGTTTCAACAGAGATGTTTTAGGAAGCCAAAACCCCATTAGCTCTTTGGCCCAACACAAGAGCCCAGCTGCAGAGTAGCCTCCCACGTGCTATGTTCCCAGTCACTCCAGTTCAGCAGACGTCTTGTTCTTCTCGGTGCCAATGCCTGGCCGTTGCAGGGTAACTCTTGAAAGCCTTGAAAGAGTGGTCTAGATGGGGGCGGGGTTGGAGAGAAAACATCATCACACCTATCATCATCATCAGGCCATACATTTCTATAGCACCCTATGGTTTTAATTATATTCATGAACATGGTTCTCTTGATTCTCATAATGACCCTATAAAGGCAGGGAATGTAAGATATCTCTAATCTTGTTTTAAACATAAGAAGATTGAGGCTCACTGAGGTTAAGGGCTTTGTCCAAAGTGTTGGTCTTTGCCTTCTACTTCAGTGCCTCCTCTTCCCCATGCAGACACTCTTTGGTTGAGCTTCCTAAATGGTGGACCCAGCTTGCTTGTGTGGAAGAGAGGTATTCTGTCTTTGGGGACATGGGGGAACCTGGGGTGGCCCAGGCCAGCAAACTCTGCCTCAAATGACCTTGTCTTTTTAACTTAGTGCCATAAAATTGTCATTTTCTGTATACACAGTGACATGAAAAATGTTGCGAACTACTATCTTGAAGGAAAGTTTAAATGTTTCCTCTTTCCACTGAACTTAATATCTGAAAGCCAGTTGATATGCCCTGGCTCTGAAAAGTCAGGCCCATTAATCATAAGTAGAAAATAAAATTTAGTTTACCATTTTTCGGTGAATTTTAAAAACCTACATTTTCTGCAATGAGCCTCTTGGAACGTGCATCATGAGTTGAAGCGCTTTTTTAAGACTTCTTTTTTAAAACGTCATGCTCAGTTCCCATGGAAGACCTTCTTGTCCCTTTTTCCTCTCTCCTCTAACAGAATAATCCATCTCTGTCACCCCCACCCTCTGCTATATTTAGGCCAGGTTCCCTGATCTACCGTCTACCTCATGATACTTCATTCTGAAAGAAAATGAATCAGTCTCATTGCGTGGAATCATTTCTTTGTTTATTCTTTCAATTGGATTAACTCATGTCATTACTCTCACTCGGGCTATTATGAAAAATGTTCTTCCCTCCGTGGGTTTTGTTTTTATTACGTTTTCAATTCTGCTAGTCTTGTTTCAGGTCCAACAACCAATTAATGGAAACATGGCCTCAGGCGAAATTATGATGTTTATTTTCCATACTTATAAATTCCTTCTATCTTCTCCTCTTCCCGTAACACCCCATTCTAGCATACCTTGGGAACCGTATCCAGAGACTTTCACGTTTTCTACCCTCTCCCAGTTAACTCTCTATCGACAAATTCACACTAAGGTCTGTGAATATTACTTCATACTGGTACTGCGTTTACTATTTACAAGGCCGTTTTCCATGTGTAGACAGGATTCTGGGTGTAGGGATACATATTAGCCGAGAGGTGTTTTTGTGTCAGTTTGTCCTGAACAGCACCTGGAAAATCCTTTTGCATGAGGAACCATCTAATAATCCCTGGGAAGAATGTTGTATTGGTTGTAAACATTTTTATTTAAGTGATAGGAAGTCAACCCTACTGGGTTACACAAAAAGATAGTGTATTTTCTCATGTAACTGAACAGTCCACTGGTGTCCTTGAATTATGGCTGGATACAAAGTCTCAGACAATGTCATAAGGACTCAGGGTCTCTCTAACTCTTGGCTCTGTTTTCTTCTCTGTGGGCTGTTTTCCACATAGATTGTCCCTTCCTTGTGGAGGGGGGCTTCCAGCAAGTTCATGCTTACTTCCTCATGGCTACAAGTCCAGAAGTAAAGAGTTTAAATTTTTTCCAGTTGCTTAAAGACAAGTTTAGAAGTAATTCTGATTCACTTTATTTGATTCCTATTTACATCTTTAAGCTAATCCTTTGGCCCAGGAGAGGTTCTGAGTGTTGCGGCCTGGGTCACATGTCCACTCCTGGAGTCATAGATCAATTGCATATGGACAAAAAATCACGGTAAGAGTGGTTCCCTAAAGCACAATCAGGGTGCTGGGAAGGCACAAAACAATTGTCCACCTCAATTGGTAATGAAAATATTTAGAGTCAAAGAAGAGTGTAGACAGACACATAACTCACCTTGAGGTGAGAGAGCATAGAGGTGTTTGACAGGCCTATTGCTTTTTAATGTTCTTGATGCCAAAAAAATGCTTTTTACCCAACCTCTAGAGAACCTGCTCTAAGTTTTTGATTGGAGAAACAAGTTCAGAGAAGCAAGGAGAGGAGCAAAGGAGATATCTGTAACAGGTCTGGGAGCTTCGTTTCTAAATCTTTATAATACCAGGGCACTGTAAAAAGACTAGAAAACAAAGATGACATGCTAGGGACCTAATTCAAGAACCATGAGAATGGTTGGCAAAGGCCTCTCTGATCTCAGCAAGAGCTGAACAAAGGCTAGTGATAGTGTCACGAAATGTGATGATAGAAACTGTGATGAAAACATAGAAAAATGGCACAACCCTGCCCTACTCTCACAGCGAGTTCAGCCGGCATCCCCAGTCAGAGCAGTGGTGGCAGCAGCAGCCAATGCCTTAAGCACAGCACTTAATGCCATGTGGTTCCAGATTCAGACATACATTGACTCATATCCTCACACTTCCTGGCTGTGTGAATTGGGGCACATTTCTTCCTCTTTATGTGGGGATAATGATATCATGCCTCCCTCCTTGGGTTGTGTGAAAACTGTGTAATGTCTCAGATGTAAAGGGTTTCTCACAATACTCTATACATAGCAGCTGGTGGGAGCTAGATGTTAATATTTTTGAAGTTGCCATTTTCAGTTCTAAGAGGCCATTTTGGGTGGGCAATGTCTGGAATTCTGGGAAGGACTATTCGAGGGGTCCCTTTGGGGTTTGTAGTTTTAAGGCAAGTATCTATCTGTTGGAGGACACTTTTTAAAATTTTTTATTATTTATTTATTTATTTGTTTATTTATTTGTTTATTTATTTTTATTGGGGAATTGGGGGGATGGGAACAGCGCTGGGGAATTGTGGGAAGGGGAACAGACAAGTTGCTGTCATTTTGTTCTTCAGTCTAGTGGAGGACGTTGCTTCACTGGCCCAAGCTGGCACCATCATTGCGCTCTTCCCGGGTGAGGCAGATCAGTCGCAGGCTTCTGG